ACGACACACACACACACACACACACACACACACACACACACACACACACACACACACACACACACACAACACACACACACACACACACACACACACACACACACACACACACACACACACACACCACCTAAGCATTATATTCACCAGCTGCACTATATGTTTACCGATACCACTCGAACGCGGACAGCGTTGCTATAACCGAGAAGCCGACCATGACGGTCGCTATCTTGAGCAGGCCGAGCGACGGCTTTACGATCTCGCGCTGTATCACCTCGAAGAATGTCACGTACAAGAACGTTCCCGTCGCGATGCCCTCCAGCGACGCGACCGTCGTCAGGTCGAGATGCGACGACGTCTCCGTCAGCACGACGCCGGCGAACGTGCCGGCGAACGACATCAGTCCGAACATGGTGACGAACGCCACCGTCTCGTGTATGCGACACTTCGCCGCCGCCATTTGCATTCCGATGCTGAACACCATAATCGACTTGTGTATGACGACGCCGGCGAACAGCGCCAGTATGCCCGTCGCCGTGTCGAGCAAGCCCAGCGTCAGACCTTCGAAGGCGACGTGCAACGACAGCGACGCGAGCAGCGTCAGCAGACGAACGCGCGTCAGACTCTCGCGCGGCGAAGACGCCGACTGCAGCGCCCGCTCGCGGCGACCGCACACGTCGGCGTTCACCGAGCCGTACTCGGCCGCGTCCTTCGACGCCACCGGCTCGGTGCCGACGCCGAACGAGGTTTCGTCGGCGCCGACGACGGGGTAGACGATGCGGATCTTGTCGACGACGGAGACGCCGTGCTTGCGTCGACTGTACGTCACGGCGACCTCTTCCACGATGAAGACGAGAAAGAAGCCGAGGCACATGATGCACTCGGCGAGCGGGTACTCGTCCGTCGCTCCCTCCGCTCCGCCTCCCGTCGTCGCGTCTTCTTCCGCCGCCGCCGCAGCCGCCAGCTTCTCCCGCACCTCGGGAAGCATGTGCAGAATGCTCGTACCCATGAAGATGCCGCCGGCGAAGCAGTTCATCACGCAGACGAACCTATCGCTGCTTAGCGACGACACGTACTGCAGCAGCTTCCACGGCAGCAGTCCGCTCACTAACGTGACGACGAACAGGATCGACGCCACGGCCAACTTCACGACGAGTAACTCCATTTTATCGTATTGAACCCGGGCGTCGCTAGGCTAATGATCGTAGCTCCTGCTATCGATGCCAAACTAATGTCTTCAAACTTTAAACTTCAACTTAACTCTCTCTTTTCGTTCCTTCGTTTTAATGATTGCGTTTCGCGTATATCGCGTACGTGAGCCTCTCCGCGAATCGTCGTTTAACCACGATTTCCACGATTGTTCGGTTATCATATCCGTCATCTATTCAGATGTCTGCGCATTGCACAGGCCGGTCCCGTACGTGCACTGCAGACGCTCGCAGCCATTGTTATCGCAGACGATACGCGCTGTCTCCGTGTAGGTACTGCGTCAGCGAGGATTTGCTGGAGCATGCGGAAGTGTAGAGCGGGTGCAAAGCTGCGTATCCGATGCGAGGGCAGTCGCGCATGAACCTCGCGGTGGTCTCTCACGTGCAGGTCACGCTGACCGTCATGCAGTCACTCCTCCGCGTGAACTGGCGGTGCGCCCATGAAACCGCACGCGAATAACTGCGGTGCTCAGAATGCACCGCTGTATAAACGCCGGGAGGATGAAAACATGTCTATATTATCTCCGCGGCTAGTTAAAGAGACCGGTTACGAGTTATAGCCGGTTACGAGTTCATAATAATACGCAGAGAACAGGTATATGTAATAAGGCAAAAACGTGTACGTGGAACGCTGGAAAAAAGGAAATCTGAAGAGAGTTTCCAGTATTGCTATAAAATGTTTTTATTTAAATATTTGCATGCGTTTATGAAACGATGTATATATATTTAGGTCAGAAATGGGGTAACTTAGAATTGATTACATTTTGGTGGTGACCCGGATCCAATTAAATATTTAATTAATTAATTAATTAATTAAATTTTTCACAGAGCTGCCTTGGCGGAGGTCTGCGCTCTAGTTATTATATATTATTATCCATTGTTGTTGTTCAGCTAAATATGAACATACTGTTTGCATGTCAACCAGCTCTGATTACATTTATGAAATTATGAGTGTTATGACCTTATTTGCTGTGAAATGCTCTGTTTCGAAATAAGAGGCTAATAAAATCTTCAGCTTAAGATTATTTTATTTAAATAACGAATATAAATATCTCCACACGCATACAACTAACATTTTCCTGAAGCCCACGAACATACACAAACATAATGTACCAATAAAAAACATCAACCAACTATACGAAATGTATTTTATTTGCCTAACAACAAATCAGCATAATTTTCACGCTATTAATATTTTACTAGAATATTATAGCATTGCTGAAAGGTACGAACCCTTATTTTAAGAATTACGTTCTTACAAATTTGCGCATCTGAATATGTCGTCATCATTGCTATCCGCTATAGACACAAGAATCACCGAAAAAAGCTTAACGCGCTTGTTTACATTTTCAATTGTGGAAACCTTTATGCTAGCCGCACACTATCCGATTTTGCACTGTGCACAGCCCTAAGCCCCCGCACACTATACGACCCACTCCCGATCGATCGGGAGGCTACCGCACACTGCCCGTATTTTAGGCGATTATAAATAAAACATGATAATTTCGTACGCGATCGGATCGTGTAAGCTATATATAATGAAAAAATCGTAAACCACAGTTCAAAAACGTTAACGTTATCTATTTTTCGCGGCCACGAATTTAGATAACATGTTTGAACAGCTGCCTCAGTCAAACAAAGCGGTAGATGTCTATATCCTTTGTAATTTACGCGTTATCGATGGCATTCTAAGCAAATGTTTATTTTGTGTAAAACGCAGTAGTTTACCCAGCAACTTGATATAGTTTTAATTACGTTTAACTTTTTGGCACATTTCTGACAAGACTAAACGTACCTATAGGTAGAAAGCAATATCTACGTAAGAATTGGCAAATTACGTTATTTTCATACGCGTAATACAACAATTTCGTATAGCGAGCGTTACGGATTGAATATAAACCAACCAATTTATACACACGCACGCACACATGTACACACATTCTATTGCAGCCTGTAGGCTTGCGTAGGTAAATGGATGAGTGCTTACCTATTCTGTCTTGCAAATAGTTGTTGCTACTACGTACGATGAGAGCTTCCATCTTTAATCTGAAGACACTTAAACGTACGTGCCGTCTCGTGGCAACTTTCATAACGATCCCAATGAACATTCCTTTGAGAAGGTTCCTGATACCATCCCTGTGCATTCCACTGTTTCGGTGTGTATGTGAACACATTTGGGACTAACAGGGTTTACTATAATCCCACCACTCCACCACAGAGTCACCGCAGTAGACGTTAGATGAGCGCTGTCGCTCCGCGGCACTTGTTTATTCATTTAAAAGCAAAAGGATTGTAATATCTTATAAACGACATATAGTTTCGGTTATAATATGGATAAATTTGCCCTAAAATGAATATCGTTTGGTTAAATAGCATTTAGGTATAAAATATAATTGCACTTTTGTGATTAGCCCTCGGTCTGTAACGTGCAAAATAAATTGTCAAATACGCACCTTTTCGGGGTGGCAGCACGGTCGCGGGTGTTATGGCGCCATTCAAATTTCGTAGCGTTGATGTGTAATTAATTATAACAATTAAATTAGGTATCTGGTAACAAATACGTGTGGGTATAGACGATTTGTTATACAGTAAGTACAGTTGTATGCAGTAAAATCCTAGAGGCTACTGTCCCTTTAATAATACTTTGTAAGAAGTAAAAGTGTCAACCTTACAAAGGTTTTATCAGTGTGAAATTGATGTTACTTGAAAGGTCACTTTTACACTTGTATGTATGGTATACATGGTATTTGGTACTGATACATGTTTTACACAAAATCAATGAAAACAAATTTTACTGTAAATGTTTTCCATACCCTATTATAAAGATATCGTTAACATTACTATGTAAGGTGCCACACACATAAATTCATGAAATTTGCAGCAGTATGAATGTCAATTACAGGTATTTTTAGTCAAAACTACTGCAGACCTATAGCAGTTTTGTGTGCCACGTCCATAGAGGTATGTAAATACGTCGGTAGGCTGTTGATAAATTTCTGTGGCTACGTCAGAAACTATGTGCAACTATTAGTGATGAAACGCCAGTGACGCTAATGTTCCGACCAGGCAGACAACGATGCACACGCAGTCTTTGAACGAAACAAATAGCTCCATTGTCACGCATTCAAAACGTCTGCGTTCTCCATGCTATGTAAGCAAATGTATTTGCGGTTTTACGTGTTTTGTCCGCATGTCGATCGAACCTATTAAAATCACTTGCACGTGAGCCAAATGCCACAATGCCCCCATAATGCCGTTGCTCGCGCAAATTCAGATTATTCGTGCGCGCATATTTGACGGACGGTGCACAGAAACAGATCAAAATGAAAAAAAAGGTTAGCGCATAAGATGGCAGCGAGCTAAAGCTATCGGCGGGCGTCATTAATACATCGCATTCACATAATACTAATAGTCGACAGGGCGTCTGCTAATCTCTGCTATGTCTGCCTCTCTGTCTATCCGTCTGTCTTGTTCTCCCCGATCCCAGCATTGTCTTTCGTTTGTGTGTCCCTCGGTAATTGTCAAGGTATTCTACACCTGTCACTGTAGCGCACTAGCGTATGTGCTTGCGTTGAAAAACGCACTCCCGACGCTGACATGTCGTGTTCGACTCCGCGCACATGGCGTTTTTCGCTACGCTGACATGGCGCGGCCTTTATCTACTCCTGATTTTATATAAGTGTGCGCAGTGCCATTTCTACTGCGTTTTTAAATGCAAGCGCTTACGCGTAGACGCGCCCGACTCAGCACATACGGACTGCTACATGATAGCATGAATATAGTGGCCTATGTATAGAATTATTAGTATATCATATACATTTATTCATGATAGTAGCCTATCGTTGGACATCTGTTTATATGCAATCAAATGTCGGGGATAGAGAGACGATCGACGGAATTCAAGCGATAGATCTTTAATGCATGCGTATTTATAGTAGCTCGGAGCATTCATGGCCGCACAGAAGGGACGCAGATTATCGCTCGACTGTTAAGTTATGTGCCTCGATTATAATACATTCCATCTCGTCCGGCAGCATCGCTTTGCTTGAACAGACCTGCAGCTGAGTTGACGTGTGAGGACTACTGCTGCGCATGCGCAGAGCGCGTCACGAAATGTTAGGTGGCCGAGCGTTTGGAAGCCCGTAGCTATAATATTACCTGTTTCGTGGCAAAAGGTTAGACTATAGACAACCCGGAACTCACGATGAGATGGCAATCAGCAATTTCTGCTAACCTGCAAGGGCGCATTTTCACGGTGGCTGGAGTGTTTGGGGTAAGCGAAACTATGAGATCAGTGTACACGCTCGACATAATTCCAAATTATCACTAGTTACGTTGTTTCAAGGGGTTTACGTCCACTTAGTTGTGTGCAATTTCCCTGCTAGCCGTCATGCGTATACTTATTAAAACAGGACCCAGGTTTCACTGAAATTGCAAGCGTGACCATCTCAAATGGAACGCGCTTTATAAAGGGTAGCGGATTCACCATACGACTACTCGATGAAATGTCAAAAGATCTCAATTTCAGGTACGGCGTAGGTAAATGTTTAGCATGAAATGCTTAACAGTAAACGTAAATGTATATACCAAGTTATCATTTATAGGAAGTGTTTCACAGAACGTGCCGTAACGAACTATTATCGACATTACTCACGTTACTATTGACGTTTGCCCCGCGCTGTCGTCATCCACTGTGAAAACTAAACCTGCAAACTCGTTTCAGTTACCGTCTGATAGAAGCACCTGACGGTCGGTTTGGTCACATTACTCCGAATGGAAGCTGGGACGGCGTTATTGGCATGGTCATGCGCGGGGTGACTGAATATATTATCATTCGATTCACGCATCGAATGAATTTGAATCGAATTATGAAACAGAATACACACCATAAGTATCGCCGATACCACGTTAATTATGTGCAGTCAATTCTCGGACGTCTACTAAAAATCTCGCCCAGAACTAAAATTTACGAGATCAGGCCAGTTTTACCGGTAGGAAATTTATATCGCCGTCGCACAGTTTCTATGCAGAAGCAATGAAGGCGGTCGATGTTATAATTAGCAGCTGCCCATCCTATCTGACTAGTCACTGCTGTGACGGTCTTGCGTAAGTCGCAGTCATTTGTAACACATGGCGTCTAACTACAGTATTTGTCGACATGTGGCGCCACCGACGCGGGGCGCAGCATCAACAACAGAACCCGCATCAGCGAGTGCATCCTCGCAGGGTTTTCCGCACACATGTGGGTGCAGCGGCAGCAGCAGCAGCAGCAGCAGCAGCGGCTTCCGTGTAAGCGCTGCGTATACGTGGCTTATATCTTGCTGTATTTCGTGTGTGCGCGCTGAAACCTCGACTCAAGTGACGCATTAGCGCAGCGATCAGCGAGTGAGATACATTTGCGATGTGCTAATGTGCGATACATCCATCTAAGACGTTCTCGACTTGAATGAGTGACGTACGCGTATACATACGTCAGAATACGTGCGTATATTGTAGACTCGGTCGCCCGCAGCTGTAGCAGGGGACCCAATAAAGAGCAGAAGCTAAACAAGCATACGTCAGCTTCAGTTGAGACGTGCCCTCAGCATCCAGCAGCGAACGTCGTGAGAACAGACGAACACGGGCGGCACTGTACATCGTCTCTCCGTCGGCGTGCGCGTTCAGCGGTAAATTAAACTACCGTAGTGAGTGACGGCGTGCGGATCACTAGCCTCGACGCACGCACTGCACGGAATGCACGCGCGCCTGACAGCGGACAGGCTGTCTCTAAGCTGAAGCGCCGTTTTAACAGACATGCCCGCGTTGTTGTTGTCGTCGTGCTTCTAATCGATATCGTCAACGCCAGCGCGAACAACGAAAGTCCTGTAAGGCAAGAGGGTCTCTCACAGATCGCGAACTTAACGTACTGCGTTCCCGCCGACAGCTCAGCATATAGACGCCGACATTTGGTCGGTCACTGCGAAACGGGACACGCCCCCCACAACGGGAGTTGACGGTAATCGAAATATGGCATCAGCAGCAGCAGCAGCAGCTTCGAGAGACAGCCGCGAACAGTGAGTGACAATGGTCGACCCTATATTCGATTACCAGTTTCGCCTCATCCTGCTCGGCGACAGCACGGTCGGCAAATCGTCGCTGCTGAAATACTTTTGCGAGGGAAAGTTCTCCGAGCATCTCGACCCGACGGTGGGGGTCGACTTCTACACGAGATTGGCCGAGGTGCGGGCAGGTGTACGCGTGAAGCTGCAGCTGTGGGATACGGCTGGACAGGAGAGATTCAGGTGATTGTGTTATCCCTCGTAGGTGCCTAGATGGCGCATAAGGCAATGAACAAGAGATCTCCAACGTCGTCGGTCCGCTGCTACTGGCCTCAGCGTGTCCCATAACGCAAGTCACACATCCGCATCTCCTTCTCCATGTCTCCTTAGGTCTTCCCCTTCTTCTTCTCCCGTCTGGCGTCCATGTAAGTTCCGTTTTCGCTATGACACCTTTCATCCGGGCGACATGACCGAGCCAAGTCGAATTCAGGTGATAAGCCGCATGCTACGTACGCCTGATGGCTACATTTTTATTAGTAGCGTGGTCGTCTAGTGCGCGTGCCGTAAGGCTAATTGCGTCTAGGGGTCAGCCACGCATCGTATACACAGGCTAAACATATAGAACACGCCCGCATTATATTCTACAACATGCGCAACACTATATAACGTTGCGGTGTCTGCAGTCGACAAAGGCTATCATTGAAATTGTTACTAACTAATAATATTAGGTAATTATAAATCGACCCGTTCCCGAATATAACGGTACAGCAACTGGTTTGTATATCTGATCGTATTGTTCTCTCTGTCTCCCTCTCCCCACCTCTTTCATCTCTTCTCTCTCTCTCGATCCCTCTCTCTCTACTAATTTCCCTTCTTTTACTCCCTTCTTTCCCATCCCACTTTTGCAAATGACCTAGCCTCCCTCTCTCTCTCTCTCTCTCTCTCTCTCTCTCTCTCTCTTTCGCTCCCGTTCTGTCTCTCCCCTCTTTCTCTCTCTCTCTCTCTCTCTCTCTCTCTCTCTCTCTCTC